CCTCAGTAGACAACTCCTCACCAGCCTGGAGTGAGCAAGCAAGGCTTAGGCCTCCAGAATTTGGCCCAAAGTAGGGCTCCAAATTTGGGGGAGTTACGGGGCCAGTCCAACAACTTAATACCCACTAGGTCCTAACCCCAAATTATAACCATGTTTTTCCAATTTCACCCTTAGCCCAAAACTCATTATCCAACAACTTGCCCGCTACCCAGCAACACTATTATATCTTTCTCCCTCTCCGCCAGCAACCACCTTCGGTGACCAGTACCTCCGGTTATTGGCAATCACCTCCGGCACTGGCAACCGCCGTCGGTGATATTTTATTGAATTGTTTCAACAAAAATAACACCTATCACCACTACATCACTACTGCCACCACCTCCACCACTCAATTACTCAGTCATATTTACACACACTTTCATTAGTGATAATGGATTTTTTTAAAAAATTACAAATAAATTTGAATCATCACTCTTACTCATGTTCACTCACTTATTTACAATAATCCATACACACACACACACACAATAGACAATATAGACTGGTAAATTTATCATTGAAAAAAAAAAAAAAAGAATCCATCATAAATCAATACAAAATCAACAAAAATTAATGATACATTCAGTGATAAATTTGTGATCTAAATGTTTTTAATCACACTTAAAAGGTGTGATCTAAATGTTTTTAATCACACTTAAAAGGTGTGATCTAAATGTTTTTAATCACACTTAAAAGGTGTGATCTAAATGTTTTTAATCACACTTAAAAGGTGTGATCTAAATGTTTTTAATCACACTTAAAAGGTGTGATCTAAATGTTTTTAATCACACTTAAAAGGTGTGATCTAAATGTTTTTAATCACACTTAAAAGGTGTGATCTAAATATTATTAATCACACTTAAAAGATGTGATGAAAGCATTTTTTAATGACACTTAAAAAGTGTGATTAAAAATGACCATTTTTAATCACACTCCTAAAGACCACACTTTAATAAAACTTAAAAGGTGTGATTAAAAAACATACATCACACCAAAAAAGTGTGATCTTTATCTATATTTGTAGTAGTGGAGAAAGAGAGAGAGAGAGAGTCTACACAAATGGAGGAGGAAGAGAGAGAACAAAAGATTGTTTAGGGCAACACAAAACACTCAAGGGTAAAAAAGGAAAAATAATAGATGGGCCAGGACTTATGTGTACATAAGATTCTAAGTCAGAACCTAATGGGTAATAAAATCCAAAAACAGGACCGACTGGTAGATAACCCAATTCATTAGTACCTTATACTATATTATTTAAATAGACCAAATAAACATTGGGTCCCAATTTTTTTTTATTATTTTATTAAGCAAAATTTTTTATTTAACAAAATTAACTGAAAAAATAAAATTTTTAATTGCTCTCTCATACAATAATAAAATTATATGAATTAATTAATAAAATAAAATTGAGAATACTTATAATTTTTCAAACCATAAGGGGAATCCGTATTTTAAGAAAATTTTAAAAGATGTATTTGTAATTTACCATAATTTTTTTTTATTGATTGAGGCCTAGTCTAAAGGGCCCCTAAAAGAATTCTTGTACTAGCGACGAACAATATTTTATTTTTTCATATTTGTGTTGTTGGGCCAAATTGAATATATATATATTAAATAAATCTTTCCTTTGATTAACAATGTTACAAGAATTATTGAATGGATTAGTTATATTATCTATTGAAAAAAATTTGATAAATAAATTAGATTGTGAAAATTTAATTAGTGATTTTGCCGCTAAAATGTGATAGTTGGGTCAATTGTAAGCTGAATATTGTTAAATTATAAAATAACAACATCAAATTTTTATCTTTTTTCAGTCTTTGCAATGATTTCTTTTTATATTAATATATGGTAGTAAATTTTAATTTATAATTTTAACGATTATTTGTGCAAGTAAACTTTTTTGTGTCTACTGACAAATAAAAAAAATTATTAGTACTTATCATTTTATCTATAAAAATTTTACAAAAAAAAGTAGGGTAAATTATAAATACCTGTTGAGGTTTGCTTAAAATATAAATTGCCCCTGTGCTTTAGAAAATTACAAATATCCCATTGTCAAAAAAAATTATTTAACAAAATTAATTGGAAAAAAAAAAGAAATTTCTAACTGCTCTCTTATTCAATAATAAAATTACCTGAATTATTAATTAAAATAAAGTTTTGATATCATTAAATACTGTTAATTGGCTTGATGATTTATTAATAAAATGAGTTATTTGTTTCAAAACCACATGCAGCAATTCATATTTTAAGCAAATTTCATGGGATATATTTGTAATTTACCCAAAAAAGTATATGTAAGAGGGCCTCATTTCATAGTTTGCCTAAGATCTCATATATCTCAAGGCTAGCCCTACATCTACCTCCCTTAGCCACCCTGATCTCTCTCTCTCTCTCTCTCTCTCTTTCTCTCTCTCTGTATATATGATAAACCTATTTTGTTTTTAGGTGAGTTTTCCCCAGATAAAGTAGAGGAAATTTATAAGTTTGCCTCTAATTTGTCATTCCCGATTTTCAAAATATTAATAAAGAAAAAATTAATTAATTTAAGCTTGATATTTTAATAGAAAACATTCTTGTTAACCTTATTTTTTCATTAATTTAAGCTTGATATTTTAATAGAAAACATTCTTGTTAACCTTATTTTTTCTCAATGTTAACAGTATTGAAGAAATAGAAAAGTGTATTCAATAAAATGTATCTTTACAATACAATGAGAGGCCTATTTATAGGCAAGGCGGAGTGGTTACCAAGTAAGAGTGGTCACCAAGAAAGCTAACAATAGAAATATCCTAATATGTTAAAACCTAATTACAGTATCTAATATATATAGTGAATATAATATATATATACAATATTCACTAACAGTCTCCCTCAAACTCAAGGTGGTTGCAAAGAGACCAACTGGAGTTTGGAAAGAGAAACTAGAGAAAATATATAAAACAAAATAATAATGCTGGAAGACAATTTATGATTGTGCCTAACCGTTGTAGGAGCAGCCGAAACTAATGACGGAAGATAGTTTATGGTAGTATCGGACCGTTGTATGAGCAACCAGAGCTAATGTCAGAAGACAGTTTATGGTCTTGCCAGACCATTGTAGGAATTGAGTGCGCCAAGGGGCAGCTTAAGACAGAATGTGCCAGGGGCCGCCTTGGGTAGTGTGCCAAAGGACAACTTAGGTGGTGGTGCACTAGGGGGTGACTTGGGTGGTGCACCAAGGGACAGCTTGGGTGGTTTGTATGGTGTATCACCTTGCTCACCATGATATAAGTATATTGTCCCCCCTCCCCCTCAAACTCAAATAAGCCTGAAGATAGAAACCTATTTGAGGTCAAAACAGAGGGAAAGACAGTGGAACGGAAGGGAGAGATCATATTCTAAAATAAAAAAAATTATTTGTAGAAAGGAATTTTTATTTTAATAGTGGGACAAGCCAATGTGATTGAGTTGAAAAATATATTATTTTATTTGAATAGAAAGTGTACCAGAGAGAGAGAGACAGAGAGAGAGAGACAGAGAGAGAGAATTTTGGTTGGGTTAATTAAAAAATTGTGGGTTTGGGGGAGTGCGTAGGATGGGTTTGATTAAAAAAATAAGAGTGTAGATTAGAGAGGGGTAAATCTGAGAGGGGGAGAGGAAAGATCTTGAATGTGGGCTGGTGGTTGAGCAATGGCGAAGGACGGCGGCGATGGGCCAAAATTGCTAGTGTGATGGCCGAAGTTGTAGCTGGCATGATGGAATAGATGTCTGAGGTAGAGGCAATGGTTAAAGCTGCAGTGAATAATGGCAATGATGGTCGGAGAAAGAGACGAATGTGTGGCTGTGAGATACTCAAGTTCAAGGATTGAGGGGTTTGGGATGAAACGATAGCAAATAGGACTGAGATCCGGCGAGCAGTCAAGGAAAGGTTGTAATATGTCTGATACCATGTTAACAGTATTGAAGAAATAGAAAAGTGTATTCAATAATGTGTCTCTTTACAATACAATGAGAGGCCTATATATAGTCAGGTAAGAGTGGTCACCATGAAAGCTATCAATAAAAATATTCTAATATATGGTAAAATTTAATTACAGTATCTAATATGTTTTTTTTTTTTTTTTTTTTGTTTTGATCAGTAAAGAAAAGGCTTTATTGATGAAGAAGTAAAATTACAAGCATAACTTATATCAACAAAGGAGGGAAGTGCACAAAGTATCATAATTAGAGACGACGATCCTAATTAGATTGGCACTGAAAAACAAACGCAATCCTATGCTAGCACTTGACCCAAGAATTGGAGAGGGACCAATCACAGGAAAAACAAAACACAAAAAAACAACAAACAAGGATCCCACTCAATCATTTTACTTGCTCATATTTCCTTAAATTGTCAAAAACCTGATTTACATTGTAAAACGTGTTTGGAGGCCAATATTTTATTAAACTCAAAAATATATTCTATTTTTTCTTGTTAACCTTATCTTGCTATGAAATGACAAAATCAATGATTTTCAAGTATAGTGAGCTTGCATTAGAAAACATGTATAATTTTATGAAAAATGATATATAAGTCCACAATTTAGACTCATTTTTTAGATCTAATGACATGTAAGTGATGTGATTAGTTGATAATTAGAGAAGATATGAGAGAGAATATTGTCTTAGATATCTTAATTGATTGTCATATCATTGAAATTAAGAAGTGGGTCTAATTTTTAAACTTGTATAGTAATACTCTAATTTTATAGTTTTTGAAGAAAATAATTTTAATTTAAATAACGATGAAATTCACTTAAGATCATGACTAAGTGGTTAGCAACTTCATTATCTAAACCACACTCAACACAAACAGAATCGAAAATTCTGCTATGTTATTTTCAACATTAAATGAATGATATTTAATGGATTTTTTCAATGGAAATAAAATATGTTGTGTTTAACTATATTTGTAACCCTGTGAATGGACTTTATAGGTTAAATTATTTACCATTGAGCAATTGATGATCGCTCAAAATGATAAAGTGATAGAGATATGGCCCAGGGAACTTCAACCTAAAGTGAGAGACATGATTATTTGGCGGTGTCCTAAGCTATCGAATATTCTTTTTCCATCCAATGTGATTAAGGGCATGCAGAGTCTTGAACGACTTATGGTGATGTGGTGTCAATCTGTGGAAGTAGCATTTAATCTTGAAGGAATAATTGTTAGGGAAGGCTATCCAGACATCGTACTCCCTTCATTAACAAAATTGGTCCTACGTTATCTACCAAAGTTGACACATGTTTGTAAGAGCAACTTACTAAGAATTCCAAGCTTTCAGAACCTGACATCCTTAACAGTAATGTGTTGTAGCAGTTTGAGATATATATTCTCATCTTCTCAAGCAGAATTTCTTGTGAAACTACAAGAAATAACTGTAACTGAATGTGGTGTGCTGGAAGCGATTGTTAATGAGGAACCAAAAGTAGATGATGAAGTTGCAACAAATATAATCATGGTCCCTCAACTAAATAGTCTCAAACTCTGTCATCTGCCAAACTTCAAGAGTTTATGTCCCCAAGCTTACACATTTGAAGGATCATTCATCAAGAAGATAAAAGTAATCAACTGTCCCAACATGAGGGCACTCCCTTCAGCATTGCAGCGCATGCTAGAGCTACAAGACAGCAATGTTCGAAAAGTGGACTTTTTTAACTCAGCTCAACACGATCTCTTGGATGGAAAGGTAAGTGAGCTGTCTTAAAATTATAGTATTCAACATTAACAACCCATTCTTTCAAAGAAAATATTTCCAATATCCATTAAATTAAGGATAAACCTCTAAATGTTTGAAAAGGAATGAATTGTTGGGTACACAAATCAAGGAGAATAAACTCTTTAGCATTGATGCGGTCAAAGATTTTGTGAAGAAAAATAATCCATTCTTTTAAAAAATAAAAATTAAACATAATTTTTTGGGATTATTACATCCCAGTGGATGTTAGGGGAAAAAAAAAATACAAAGTCCATGAAAAAGTTTACAATTTTGATTATTAATATTTACAAAGTTTCTCACTAATTTGTAATTATTTTTTAAAATTCCATTGATATGATATTTTCCCTTATTTTTTTCTAGAATGATGTAACGGTGGTATTTTTTGTAATTAAATGTCATTTTAATGAGCACATGATTTTAAAAGGACAAGTCTCAGTGCAACCACATCATTCTGTATACAAATGTTATATGTTTTTTTTCTGTTTGTATATCATTATTCTTTTGTTAATTGTTCCCAGCTCCCAAATAAATGGTGTTAACACTAAGGGAGTGTTTGTTTGAACGGACTAGATAGGGGTGGATTACAATACAATAGAATATTAGTCCTAAATAGATAGGGGTGGATTGCAATACAATGGACTATTAGTCCTAAAGAGACAGGGGTGGATTGCAATACAATGGACTGTTAGTCCTAAATAATTAGTCTCTAGACTATTTTGTTAAAAATGATGTGCATTTGACTATTAGTTACATCTTCATTTTCAACCAAACAATGGATTAGTAAATATGTCACTAACACAATTGAGGTGATAACAATTGCAGTTTAGTTTAAACACAGAGGGAATACTTGATGTCACAGGAATAGATGAGCCAACTGATATATGGCACAATCAACTCGAAGTCGGATGCCTTGACAAAGTAAGATTCATGCGGGTCCAGTTTTGTGGGAAATTATCAAGTGTTGTCTCGTTCAAGTTAATGCAAAGGCTGCACAATATACAAGGGCTAAAAGTATGGTGGTGTGATTCACTGGAAATGATATTTGGTCTCCAAGAAGGGGTATGTGCTGATGTTGCTGAGAAAGAAACATTAATCACTCAGTTAAGCAAATTGAAATTGAAGTATTTGCCCAAGTTGACGCACATATGGAAGAATATTTCCCAACAAGCTCATTGTTTCGAAAATCTAAGATTTCTAACAGTGCAGCACTGTGACAACCTGAGATATATATTCACAATTTCCATGGCCAATGCTCTTGTGAATCTACAAAATCTAACAGTTGAACATTGCGAGAAGGTAGAAAAGATTGTCACCAGGGAAAACGAAGAAGAAATCTTTTGGCGAGAAAATATGGTTGTCAAGCTTAGAAATCTTCCAAGTCTCGTGTGTTTTGGCCCGGATGTAAATGATACTGAAATTCCAGTCATAACAGCCAAAGCAAGATTCTGCCCCAAATTTCCAGGTAAAACTCCAATTTATATATTTGCAAGTTTTTGACGAACTCAAGAAGGCAACTTCACTACTCAATTTTTTAGCTATACATCTTACAGCTTAGAAAAAAGTAGTTATGATAAGGTAGTATTTGATTCACTGAAATAAAAGATTGAAATGGAATAATCATTTCTTAATCTCTTTATGAAATGATCATTCTTTTATAATAGTAAACAATAATTTTATTTATATTATATTTTTAGTACACCAAATATGAAAATATATGTTCTAAATGACCATTTTATTTCATTTAATTTTAAATGACCAAACATAAGATAAAGGAACACAAACCTATGTCATGTCCAATGATAATTGGACAATGCTAGGACAAAATATTCTACACAATCTCTCACATTACTAATGAATATGGTTAAACTTTAGGGAAAATTACAATTAGGTGCTTATAAGTTTGCAAAATGATAATATTTATTTATTTATTTTTATTTTATTTTATTTTTGACAAAGTTAGGAAATTAGCAAGTTAGTAATTAAATTAGAGTTAATTGTAGTTTTAACTCTTGTAGTTTAACCCAAATTTCACTTTGGTCCCTATGATTTCAAATTGAACAATTTGATCTCTATACTTTGAATCTAGTTTTAATTTGGTTCTTCTATTTAAATTGGAAGTTAAAATTAACGATTTTGGAACACTTGTTAGTCTTTTAAATGTACACATAGAAAAAATTAACGAAAATTTGGAGGAGAGAACCAAATTGAAACTGGAATTAAGATGTAGGGACCAAAGTAAATTTGAGTCAAATTATAAAAATGAAAAATAAAATTAACTTCCAAAAATATTTTTACAAGGTAAATACTAGTCAGTCAAAAGGGTGAAATAAGGTACTAAACCTAACCACATAGCTATCTCACCAATGACCATGGTGTATCCAACACGGTAATACTACAAATTTAGACTTAACTACATACATTTAACATTTTGTGATTCAGATATGTTCCACATATGAATCATATACTACACAAATTCAATCTCAACTACACATTTTCATTCTAGGTAAATTCGGCATAGTTAAGTGGAGTTCATATACTTATTGGTGTCCAGCAAGAAGGAAAATCCCTTATGGAGGTGGTGCAAGCATTTTTTAAAATATATTTTTATAGAAAATATTATGTAATTTTTTGGTAGAATTACAACAATTTGTGATTCAAAAACAAAATTGGATATTTTTGTAATGTTTAACTTTATTTTTTAATAATAAGCTCTCGTAATTCTACCAAAAAATTACGTAAAAATTGTCACAAACTGTCATAATATATACCAAAAAATATATATAAAAATGTGCATATGGCACACACGCTATCCCATACTTGAGATACAAATTATGTTAGCAGCACTGAACTTTGTATTTAAGAATTAATAGTATATATATTCTTAAGATGGGTCATACAATGCACACCTATTTTTGGAGTATGTATTATATGTAAATTATGATAATTGTGGTATTAATATTACAAATATCATAACTAAATCACTTTTAGTCATAATTAAAAGAAAAATAATTGGTCATAACCAAAAATCTTTTGAGACATAACTAAAGATCTCATTGGTCATAATTGAAATAGTAACCACAATATGTCATAATTAACACCACAATAAATCATAAATCAAATATCATTTGAGGTATAACTAAATTTTTTTCTATCATAACCAAAATAACAATTATAATAAGTCATAATTAAATCGTAACCAACACTACTACAATGAATCATACCTAAATCATAACAAACATCACTATTGATTATAACTAAGAACCACAAAATTCATAAGTAAACATTTTGTTTTGGACAAACTTCACTTTACCCCCTGTAGTTTGAGTCATGTGCAATTAGTTTACCCTCTAACATTTGGAAATAATCACATAACCTCTACATAGTTTGTGGACTAAAGTGCACCGTTAAACATTTTGTCCAACTTAACACCATGTGTGAAACATGTGGAAGACATAAGGGGGTTATATGCTCATTTTTAAATTTCAAGGGGACAAACCGCACATGCAATAAAGCACAGGGGATTAAAGTGCACTTTACCTTCTAAACAAATGAAGAAAATGTAAGGGTATTTTAATCTTTTTTATTAAATCGTTAATGGGTCTAACGGTGCACTTTAGTCCACAAAACCACAAGGGGGTTATGTTGTCATTTCTAAACATTGGAGGGGCAAACCGAACATAACCTAAACTATAGGAGGTAAAGTGAAGTTTACCCTTTTTATTTCGAACGGGATAATTTATAGAATTTCTCTCTTCAGATATGCTTCATGCCACCTGCACCTATTTACAGTATAGACGATGTGGCTAGGTTGATTATTTTACAAACAAATTGATTTTTACTTCAACAACATTGTCAAACATTAACATTACTCTCTCTTTAATTACTACATAGGCAATGAGGATGGAGTTGGCTTGGACTTTAAGTATCTCGACAATGACTTTTTTTATCAAAATCTTGACGTTGACAATTTTGTCGAAGAAGATGACTTTGATGACTTTGTCGAAGAAGATGACTTTCACGACGATGACAATTAACAACGTTGTCAGGTATTAACAATTGCAGATTATCAACTCTTTAGAGGAAAGGTTTATGCATACATATACCCCATTGATCAAAAAAAAAAATGTCATTGCACAAAATGTTAGTTCTTCTTGTTTTTACCAATTAACTTTATTTTTGAGGAATGCTAAGCACGGAAATTTTATGGTTGTGTGTACTATATGAACTTTTAGTTACAATTTATGTGTCATTTGTTATGACTTATGGTGTTGTTAGTTATGACACATTGTGATGTTGATTATGATATTATTTTACTTATGATCCAAGAGTTGTTTGGTTGTATCTCATGTGATGTTTGGTTGTAACTCAATTTTTTTTTTTTTATAGTTATGACTTCATGGTATTGAGTTATGCCATTTATGATAATCAAAATCATAAATGACATAACTTGCATATAATGTTTTTCTTCCTATTCCAATATGTTCAGCTTTAAACATATCACAAAGGATTATCCATTTAAAAAATGCAATCATTCTTCCCACGAAAATGTAGCTAATTTTGCTTCTTTTTTTTTTTCCTCGCTCGAGGACTAGCAAGTTGTAAGTTGGGGGGTGTGATCGAGGCCGAAATGTATACCATTGAGGCCGATAATTGAGATTTCTTAATTGCATATAATGTTGCAACTTTGTACGTTTTACTAGTGTTGATGTGAATCAGGTTGGATGTGTTTGTACGTTTTAGCTGAAAAGCATGCACCGCACGTGCGGAGGGTCATTCCTGCACATGCGGCCCCCTTTCTGAAGATCAAAATGGACTGCATAATCCACATGTGTGGAGCCGCACATGTGCAGCCCAAATTTCCCGCATGTACGAGCACCTCGATTTTCATGCACATTTTTTTTCCCCTTTCTAAAGTCACCTGTTTTGCTAGAAAAGTATAAGAGAAGGAAAAGAAGGCTATTCTCGGGTTTGAAAATTCTCTAAAAAAAGGGCAATGGAGGCTAGGGTTTTGGAGTTGAAGGGTTGGAGGTCTTCCATGGCGGCTTCTTCTTCATCATTTTTCCATTCCTCCATGAGAAGCTAGGCTTCTACTTTTCTGTGATTGTTGAATGTTTTTCATACAATGGTTTTCTATGTGTTGTACTCAAAGTACAAGACAAGTCATATTAGGAGAGACAAGTCGTGTTGATACCGTAGTCTAGAGTGAACGACTCATATTACTTGAGATAATTTGTGGCTATACGTTGAACGCAACAATCCTTTTGATAAATGTTTTAAACTTGTAGTTGCGAAACATTGGGTAGTTCAAACCATATTGCAATTAGATGCCGATGTTAAACCCTATTTATGCAACTAGTGGTGGATTATTTGCCCTAGGATCTTCCCCAAATCGAATTCTCAACCTTAATCTTTATTGTTAATTTAATTTTCTAGTTGTTATTTTAATTCTCACTTTAATTTAATTCTCATCAATCATTCTCGTCTAAATTAATCTAGGAATCTTGCTATTAAAATTAGTTGAATTTCACATTAGTTCCTGTGGATCGATACCTAAACTTGCCATTATTCTACATAATTTAGGTACAGTTTAATCTTTATTTTTGATGTGCTTAACGACCCACCATACCATTATCACCTCTCTACCACCAACCACCCTATAACCACCATTGTCACTACCATTGCCACAGCCACCACCGACCACTATCACAACTCACACCACTGCTACCACGACTATTAGTATCATCATTTTTAGAGTCCTAACCAAATATAGGACAATGTGTTCCATGGAACACATTTTTCAAAAAATCTCATAGATTTTTGTTTCCCCTTCAAAACAGACAAAGCATAGTACATAGTAGTTTGTATATAGGCTTCTTTTTAATGAAAGAGATAAATTTTGAAATAAATTTATGCTAAAATAAAAGTACAAACAAATAGACGGAATATATATGTTTGTACTTTGTTCCTGTTTTAGCATTTTTATCCCTTCTGATTTTTCTAATAATTTTCTTCTTCTTTTGAGCTTGACCTAATAACTATTTAGCTTTGGTGTTTTTTGGCATCTCTAGGTTTGTTAACTAAACCAACTAAGAAACGGCATATGTTGTTGAGACATCCATGTTGTTTGTTCTTTTTTTAGTATTTTTCTTCTCTCTAGTTTCTCTATAAACTATTTAGATATTGCTTTTTTCTTCATAGGTGATTTTTGAGTCATGATTTTCTCAAAATTCTATGAGGATCAAGAAGTTGGAGAAGCCAACCAAGGTTATAGGGTGGTCTCATATATCTATGGAAACTATTTAGTTGTTATGATTACGTTTTATCGGACTATTGTCTAAATTTGAATAAGCTATTAGCTCTTACTATTTGCTCTTTGTAGTGTGTGTTCTTGTTTGTTGGGTTGGTGATGCTGCTAGCAAAACCTTGTGAACTGGACACACTTTATTATTAGCCATGTAATAATTTTAAGTGAATTTGAAATTTGTGTTGTGTGCAATTGCACCCATGTCATGAGTAATTGTCAATATTATTGAATAAATTATAGAGGAGACTCAAAGAAGTTGCTTTTAATCTTAATGTGGGTTGATTGATTGAAAAATGTGTAGTTGCAAATCTAAACTTCCAGGTTGATATTACTTTACTAGATAAACTACAGTTATACTCCCTGCAATTTAATATCTTTTGTGTTTAAGTCCTTAAAGTTTTTATTTTGTCAATTAAGTCCCTAAAGTATTAAATTCCAATCAATTTAGTCCTAAAGACAATACAAAATAAAATATAAGCACAAAGGTTATATAAAATTGTTATAAGGCTCGGATCCGCACATGCGTTTTAGAATTGTAGAGTCTGATTTCTCAACATTGCCAATATTAATAAATAAGCATTAGATACATCAAAGAAGTCAAATAAAATAATCTAAATATTAGTGTTGCACTATAAATAATTATCGAACAAAATAATTATTTGAAGGTTGATTCTCCAGATTTGTAGTTCTCTCTTCCGGTTTTGTGAGTTTCAATTCATTTAGTTTTTATTTGTTTATTTATTTTTTATTTAATAGATTGTGTACATTCTAACTCAGATCTGGCTTCTCTCTTCTGATTTGTTGTTTTTATTAGATCTAATCATTCATCAACCGATCGATTCATTCTGTGCTGCTAAACTCGAACTCAAATCTGTAAGCTTAACTTTAATTTTGGACATGTATATATGCATTTGTTTCGTATGAACTTAGATTTTTTATTTTTCAGACCTGTTTGAGATATATATATATATATATATAAGTGTGAGTGTGTGTGCTTTCTCTGATATTAATCTATAAGTTGTTTTATAAAAAGAGAGTTTGAATTCAATTTAGTGGACACAATGATTGATTAACTGTTGCATAATATATATATATATATATATAGCTTCTCCATGCTACTCTATGAAAAAATTTATCTGAGTTTTTGAAGCTTTTACTTGGAATACCAAATTTTCAACAATAATAAAAAATATTAAAAAAAATTGGCCTAAGTTGAAGAGGTTACAATGAAAAAAAGGGTAAAACAGAGTATATAAAAGGAGTTGTAGATGAATAAGGTTGTCTGATATGTTGTAATCAAAGGGCTTCTCAACCTTTACAGAATGATTTCCATTTCTTTCAATAAGTAATTTTCTATTTATTTAATTTTTAGTTTTTTGAAGGCTTCAGTATATTGTGATGTTTAATTTTTGGTTTTGGTGCTTGGAGAGTAGAATATATCATTGTAAACTGTTATGTTCTATCACAATGTGTTTTTTTGTTTTTGTTTCTTTCTGCGTGGTTTTCTTAGGCTTGATAAATATTTCTTTATTTCTATATTAATTTTGCTCTGATCTTCTGTGCTGATGGACTAAATGAAATTCAATGATGCAATCATCTTCCTATTATGGTGTCAACAACTATCTTTCAATAAAAATGATAAATTGGCATTATATAATTTAGAGTAACAGTCTGAGTTCTTAAATTGTGCTTTAGGTCATGCATGTGCTCACATCTTGGCAAATATGTTGTTTCATTCCTATTTTACTGGTACTCAAAATAAAATAAAAATGCGTAGCTAGTTACTTAATCAAGAAACATGAATAAGACACGTCGTAACCAAAAGCATCCCCTTTTTTTTTTTATCAGCGAAGAAGAAGCATACATTTCATATGAGTTTACATCAATAAAGAAGAGGAAGTGCAAAAGCAAAGTAAACTACCCCAATCCCAACTAGGTTGGCACCAGGGAGGATACACCTAATCATATGCTAGCACGACCACAAAGAAATAAAACACACACAGCAACTGCAGCAGCCTCCACTGATGCAGGGGAGAAGCAACCACCCAGACAAACTCAAGGCCCACCCCTTGTGCAAAGTCTAACTTGCTGAAGATTATGAACCAAGTCATTGACTGAGTAATTGAAGGATGGGCAGTAGGTTTTAACCCACAAAGCAATCCTAACATTAATGGATTCACACAGACCATCCAGATCCACCTGTGAACTGTTGAAGATACAATCATTTCTCTGCTTCCAAGTCGACCATTGCACAGCCAGAGGGAGTGCTCTCCAGATCATCTCCTGTTTTCTAAGCTTAATACCAGTGCACCAACATAATAAGCTACTCACAAACCCAGGCATTAGCCACTGTATACCCCTCCAGTTTATAATTCTGGACCAAATCTTCCAAGTAAAGGGGCAAAACAGTAGCACATGGTTGACACACTCCACCTCCTCCTTACAAAAAGTACACTTAACTTCTATATCTTCACTGAGCACTCCAATTCTTTGGAGATATCTAGCTGTCTTAATCCTACCTTTCCAAGCTAACCAACCAAAAAACTAGACCTTGGGTGGAGAGACATTCTTCCAAATGAAGTCTGCTATTTTTCTATTAGCCACATAACTCACACCACTTGTATGCTGTGGCAATAGAGAAAAACCCTGATGCATCTGCATCCCATCTCAACCTATCACTCATCTCTTCCCTAAGAGCAGGTGCATTGAGCAACATCTCATCCAGCCTCCTCAAGTCCTCCACCTCCCACTGAAATAGGGATCTTCTAAACCTAAGATTTCCCTCCTCAAACTCATTCCTCCTACTCAGCACCAAATTCACAGATTCAGTTTTGTCCATTGATAAAAAAAAAAAAAGTCTAGGAAATTCCTCTTTCAAACAAACATAGCCAATCCATTTGTCCACCCAAAATTGTGTTCTTCTCCCATCCCCAATAACTAGACCTATGTTGCTTTTGAAGAAATCAACCAGTTCAGGTCTATACCTTTGCAGATCTGAGAAGACCTGAGATTTACAACTAGTAGTGGCCACCATCCCCATCCAGCCTCACTGCATTTGCTGCAGATCACCTGCTTCCACAAAGCATCATAGTTAGACCCAAACCTCCACCACCACTTCAAAAGAAGAAAATCATTCACAAGTCTGAGTCTCTTAACTCCTAAGCCCCCTTGACTTTTACTTTGTGAAATCACCTCCCAGCTGACCAGATGAATTTTTCTTCTAAGCTCATCACCTCCCCATAGGAATCTAGATTGAATTTGTCTATTTCCTTTGCAACCCCTTCTGGCATCTTAAACAAGGATAGGTAAGATAGCACAGATTTTATCAAGGTCAATCTACCAGTAGAGGATAGGAACCTCCTCTTCCACGAAGCCAACTTTTGTTTGCATTTATCAATCACTGGCTGCAATGTCCTCCTTTTCCTTGGATTGAGTGTCCGACGTGAAAGACCGAAAACACGTGCGGAGGAGGTGTAACGCCCTCAAAATAATACATAATACCCATCAATCAGAAAGGCAGTAATATAAGAAAATCAACACATTTCCATTCATCAGAGTAGTTCTTACAACAATATTACATGTTAATAACAAAAACAAATGCCCTATGGGCTTACAGCTTTCCAAGTCAACACTTGGTTGCACAAAAGAAGAGTACTAACTCTATAAAAAATAAGCCCTTGGCTTGATATACATGTAATACAAACAAAATGATCAAAAGGAGTCTTCAACTCCCATAACCTTCCAAGCTATGTCCCTGGAGGTGGCATGCTACCTGTACCTGAAAATAATGTCCCATATTGGGTGAGCCAACGCCCAGTAGAGATATGCTAAACACAATATGAGCAGTAACTAAGACATTAGCAATTGATAAATGTTTAACTCCCATAAATCAATTCATAAACCATTTCTATTACATGACCATAATGTCTATGTTTCATTTCATTTTCCATTTCTTATCCAATTTCCAAATTTATACCCGAGGCTCAGAACCTGGCCACACACTCTAAACGAAATAATAATTCATATTAAACGTTTCCCATTTCGCAATAGATAAACATACAAGCTGTATCAACACCTCATCAGATAAGCATATGAGCTGTGTAAACACTTCAATAGATAAGCATATGAGCTGTATCAACACTTCAATAGATAAGCATAAGAGCTGTGTAAACACTTCAATAGATAAGCATATGAGCTGTATCAACACTTCAATAGATAAGCATAAGAGCTGTATCAACACTTCAATAGATAAGCATATGAGCTGTATCAACATAACACAATTTCTGACCTAAAGGTCCAGCCCCTTTCTTCCAATAGACCTTCCGGTTTAGAGGTCCAGCCCCTTTTTTCCAATAAACCGTTCGGTTTAGAGGTCCAGCCCCTTTCTTCCAATAAACCGTGGGGTATAGCCCCTTTCTCCTCCCGCACAAAACAATGTATATACACATAGGTCCTATACACAATCAATCAACACATAACGTTAATGTATTCTATCAGCCATCATACTCTATGACACATTCAATTGATTAGTTTTAGTTTACCTAATCATCATGCATTGTCTACAATAATCATAGCTACCCTCCACTGGTAGCCCAAAGCATTTATTTCTAAACAGATAATAAAAGCCTCAATAGATAAAATATCAATGTTCTCAAAAGTGAGCTATTTATGGACCCAACTCCACCATTTCACAATATAATGAATCTATTTCATTAATTCCAACTCAATTTCTTATAATCACAACCTTTCCCAAATTAATTATACCAATTAATTTATATAACAACTTAGGGTTCTCTACCCCATTTCCCAACATTGACCTAATGGTGTAAATATCAACAGCCAACAACAATAACCTCATTTTGAAACCCAATATACACTTTCAAGAATCAAAATGACAAAACCCCCATTTAACATTTTGAAACCCTAAGTCCCAAAGTTACCCAACTTCAACACCTTATCAAAACAACCAAAAATCTATGTCAAAGACCATAGGAGTGAGTAGGAATCCCTACCTCAAAAGTTGACACCCAACGAAGAAGATGATAAAAACGAAAATGCTCCAAATCACAAGTTTCTCGGATCAAAAGATAGCCCTCGACGATCAACAACTTTTTTGTAAAGGCCAAAGGTGAGGAAACAACT